TCTGCCCCATCCAGGCCCAGCAGCTCCCAGCATTTGCTGAAAACACCCCCCTCCCCACCCCCCCTGGCCCCCTCTAACCTTCATCCCCCTCTGCTCCCCATCCCCCTCTGTACCCCATTGTTCCCAGCCCCTCTCTGCCTCATCCCCCACTGCTCCCCCCCCCAGCACTGCACCCTTTTCAGTTTTCTGTCCCCAGCCCTCCCCCCTCCTTGGGCCCTGCTGGCTGATCTCTGGTTCCAGGGGGGCTTGATTGCCAACCTCCCCTCGCCCTCCAGTTGCTCCACTCACCTACATAGAGAGGAGGCAGCCCCAGCTGGAGGGGGCGCTTTCGGGCTCTCAGTGGGGGGCCCTAATTCTGTTCTTATCACCCCAACTTCAGGATGGGCAGGGGCAAAATGCCTGCTTATTTCTCTAGTAGTAGGATTGGGCCCATCTCAGGAGCAGGGGGGAGGGGGGGGACAGCAAGAAAGCCAGGCCATACAGAAGAGGTTTTATCCCCTCTACCCCGTGCCACACTTGTGAGGGCATCATCACGATCCCTGGACCAACCAGGGAGAAGCTGGTTAAAGGGATGTTGCTGGTTGGGGATGATATGCACAGGGGTGGGCTGGGCCTGGGGGGGGCAACCTCCCCCCTCCCCTCCCCCAGGGGCAGCGCCTCCGTCAGACCTCGCTGGTGACGGAGCGGGAGGGGATGAGCACGTCCGGGGTGGTGGGGAAGAGACACAGCTGGGGGTCAGGCGATCGCTGGGAGCACAGCTCTGTGATCCTGGAGGGGAGAGAAAGATGGGGGGCAGCACTTTAAACAGGGCCTCAATGCTCTTGGGGAAGTTGGGGGCCCCCCGCTTTGACCCACAACCCTTAGTTCCAGAGAACAGCCCTTTTCTGCTACAGCTGTGGGAGCAGTGCTGCTGGCAGGCAACGTTAGTAGGTTGTTATCCCCTCAGTCTGCTTCAGGCACTGCTAGTAGGTTAGTATCCCTTCAGTCTGGTTCGGGCAGCACTAGTAGGTTGTTATCCCTTCAGTCTGGTTCGGGCAGCACTAGTAGGTTGTTATCCCTTCAGTCTGGTTCGGGCAGCACTAGTAGGTTGTTATCCCTTCAGTCTGGTTCGGGCAGCACTAGTAGGTTGTTATCCCTTCAGTCTGGTTCGGGCAGCACTAGTAGGTTGTTATCCCTTCAGTCTGGTTCGGGCAGCACTAGTAGGTTGTTATCCCTTCAGTCTGGTTCGGGCAGCACTAGTAGGTTGTTATCCCTTCAGTCTGGTTCGGGCAGCACTAGTAGGTTGTTATCCCTTCAGTCTGGTTCGGGCAGCACTAGTAGGTTGTTATCCCTTCAGTCTGGTTCGGGCAGCACTAGTAGGTTGTTATCCCTTCAGTCTGGTTCGGGCAGCACTAGTAGGTTGTTATCCCTTCAGTCTGGTTCGGGCAGCACTAGTAGGTTGTTATCCCTTCAGTCTGGTTCGGGCAGCACTAGTAGGTTGTTATCCCTTCAGTCTGGTTCGGGCAGCACTGGTAGTGTGTTCCACTGCCAAATCCCCCCATTTTGCTCCCTCCCAATTTCTCTCCTTTAGCCCCCAAACTCCTGCTTCACCTCCCCGCCATCTCCATTTTGTCCCAAAATTCATTTCCCCTCCGAAAAACCATTCCCATAATCCACCCTCCCCGTTCACCCCTCGCCTGCCCCACACCCCATTCCCTGGCACGGGGCTGCACCTGCCTGGGGGTGGGGGAGGGGCGCTCCCTTGGCAGGTCTCCAGCAGGGCGTGGAGGGTAGCACTTACTCGTAGGGCCGAGCCGCCCCGGCGTGGCCCCCGGCGCGGAGGGAGCGAGCGAGCTGCCGCTCCAGGCCTCGGGTGAGCAGTGTGGAGAAATCCTGCTCTGGGGGCCCCCCGGCCCGCTGGGGCCCCCCCCCCCCGGGAGAGCAGCAGCAGGCGGGGAGCAGGGGGAGATGGGGGAGAGAGAAATGACAGAGAGATGGAGACAACGTTAGGCCTTTACTCCTAGCTCGCCGGGAGGGGGTTGGGGGGTCACACCTGGGGGACAGGAGGGAGGGGTCACTGGGGCTCAGACCTAAGGGTCTGATGGGGAGCC